AGAAAGCAGGAGGGAAAATGGTTTCTAATTCTGCTTGCTAAAAGGAGGTAGGAACAAAGGCTTTAAGAAAACAAATCTAGGGGCTGGGATTGTGGCTCAGTGGCAGAGCACTCGCCTCACATGTATGACGCATTGGGTTCAATCCTCAGCAACACATAAAAGGTATTGTGTCCATTTATAACTAAAAAGGGGGGGGGGAATCTAATGTTTAAATTTAATGCTGAGATCATGGTTTCTACTGTCTTCTCTTCAGAATATCCTGGATAAATGCTCAGTTCTATGAGCTGTTATGAGCCCGGGACAGTTTGCTGTACCAAAATACAAAAAAAAAAAAAATTCAGATCAATGGGACTGTGTGTCAAAAGAACACAGCAAGGTGGTACACACCTGTAATCCCAGTTACTCAGGAGGCTAAGGTAGTAGGATCCCAAGTTCAAGGACAGCCTCAGCAATTTAGCAAGATCCTGTCTCAAAAAAATAAAATAAAAAAGACTTGAAATGTAGCTCAGGGGGTTCAATCCCCAATATCACCAAAAACAAACAAAAGAATACAACAGGGTACACCCACTGGCCAAAGTATAACTCTGAGCAATAAAAAATAATTACTGTAGTTGATTAGATCACATTGAATCTATAAAAAGTCATGAGTCCGGGCTGGGGATGTGGCTCAAGCGGTAGCGCGCTCGCCTGGCATGTGTGCGGCCCGGGTTCGATCCTCAGCACCACATACAAACAAAGATGTTGTGTCTGCTGAAAACTAAAAAAAAAAAAAAAAAATATTAAAAAATTCTCTTTAAAAAAAAAAAAAAAGTCATGAGTCCAACCATGATACATAGACTCAATGATACACAGGACAAAAATGTTCATAAACATGAGTAAAGATGATGAATAGATTACATTATTTTAATACTTTAATCAAATATGCCATTATTTTGACTTATTTACTATCAGTAAAAAAAATACAGAATTTAATACATATTAAATAAGCTAGCACTTTCTTGCTTAAGGGAGAATGCCAATATAATGATCCCATAAGTTGTGACCAGTCATTCAAGACAACAAATTTTAATCAAGTACATTTGCAAACACCCATGAACATGTTATGATCAAGCATATGAGAAAACTGCAAGATATCTTAAATTCGAAGGTCTCTAAAACCAGTTTGAAAGACATTTATTTGAATGTCTTAAAATCCTCTCAAGTTAAAAGGTATTTAGAGAAGTAAAATTATATATCTTTCTATATATATGCAAAATCCAAGTGATCAATCCATATGGCAGCAACCAACCTCCCTGAGCAGCCAGAATTAGGTAGCATGCACAGATTACGTCCTGGGACACGTTTCATGCAATCCACAGTCCCACAAAACTTGGATCTGTGTGACATGTTATGTTGATCACAGAAAACTTTAGTAACTTTGCAAGCACTTTACTGACAGGGAAACAGATCTATGTTGTATCGGTAAGTATAAAATTCAAATTTCCAAGTAATATCAATAAATAGAAAGATACTTTAAAAGAGAGAGAGATGTTTTTCAAGTTTGCCTCTATAATCTTTGTATTGGAATTTTTAGTATAAATATGTATTCACCTACATTTGGATCTTTTAGTTCTAAAAAAGGCAAGAGAGAATTCACCTTGATTCATGTTTGCAAACAGTAATGCCACAGATCAACAGTCGCTGCACTATAAGAACGCCTTCAAATTTCACCATCCTGAAATTGGGCTGTAACCTGAGATCACTGAAGCAGTCCCCGCCGTGGTGACGCGGGATTCATGCAATGCGCTTGCGCAAACATGGTCGTAGCCAGTTGCGTCCCTGCGGTCATCAGTGGGGTGTTGGAACGCCTGTTGAGTTTCATAGCCTTTTAAAAATGTCTTCCAAAAGATTACGTGATGACTCTGAATTGCAATGAAAAGTCACTGTGTACGCAGAAGGGAAGCTGGGCGCACCTTTGGTGGTCTTTGAAGGGCACGACGGCCTCATCCACAAGCTTGCTGCGCCCTGGGACCCGGGAATGCGCTGGCGAGGAGACCCACAAACCCCCCAGCAGCCAGGGCCTTCCGGAGCCGAGCGCAGCGCAGGGGAGGCAGCGACCTCGGCTGGTCCAGCTGCCTGAACCGAAACAGCTCAACTTCCAGGTGCTTGGGAATCAAGGAAGGAAAAGCTACCTCCTCCGTTTCTGCGCCACAAGGGCAGGAGCTCTAGGAACCCCGAGAACGGGAGCAAGTCTCCGCTGAGCTCGGAGCAAGTTCCCCCGCTTTCCCCCCAAAGAGGACTCTCTCCAACAATCAGTGTTTCCTCGGTTTCTTTGATTAAAATCCAAATAAGTGAGATATCAGTTATGGTATCTGTTGTCACGTCTTTTGCCGGATACTGAAGAATGTTAATAAAGGAGGAGAAAAATGTAGTCTTAAAGCTAAGAGGCTCATCAGGAGGTGCAAAATGCCTCTTTACTCTTTTCTCCTTTGCTTTTTTACAATTCTAGGTGTTGTTTTAGAATCGATCCGGTTACCACCACAAATTTTGCTTCTTGTCTTTGGGGATCACAAAGGTTTACAGCATTTGATCAGATTAGTGTTAAACCTCCACACTTTTTATACATACCAACCATGTCTTTTGATACATACCAAAGTGCCATTATGTCTTTAATTCCAAAATACAAGAGCAGAAAATACTCAAAACTTTAACTTATAAAAATATAAATTGCTTCAACCCCCTTAGGACACTTTTCAACTAATAGCATCTCACAAGTCAATGTTTCCTATGGGTATAAACATAAGGATTTTTATGAATTTCGTAATTAACATTTAGGTGTTTCCTAATATAAATCTGAACCTTGGTAGAATTTGAAGCTGTTTATCTTCCCAACAATGCTAAGGTGGGCATGTTTTCTTCATTTTGCAAGTGAGGAAACTAAGGCAGGGGGATGGTAAGAAGCCTAGGCCATCTGGCCCCAGAGCTTTTGCTCTTTACCACCATGCTAAGGCTTTATCCATTTCTAAGATCCAAAATATTGTATAACACGTGTATAATTGGTAACAAAACCAGGATTAAACATTAAATTTTAGTAAAAACTCACAGGGAAGAAAAAAATAAAGGACGTAGATCCTGCTTTCAACTAATGAAGAAACGTTGCAACAGACTTATTACAAAAATATAAGCTTAATATGCTTTTTTTCTCTATTCATTATCATCAATTTGTATTTGGGATTTGGTGCAATTACAAAGAACTGTATTTTTACTAAAATATTCCCGTTACTTTTTTTTTTTTTTTTTTTTTTTTTTTTTTTGTGGTCTCTATTTTTTTTTTGTGTGGTGGTTTTTTTTTGTGGGGGGGGGGGGGGGGGGGGGGCACAGTGCTGGGGATTGAACCCAGGGCCTTGGTGTTTGAGGCAAGCACTCTACCAACCAAGCTCTATCCCCAGGCTATTTTTGAACTTGAAGTCTCAAGTGATCTTCCTGCCTCAGCTTCCCATGTAGCTAAAACTACAGATAATTGCTACCACACCAGCTAGTACTTTATTTTACATTTTTGGTGTTGTTAGTCTGGAGTTAGTCTGGACTGAACTCTCCAAGTTTTATTCCAAGATAATGTCTATTTTAATAAGTGTTATTATCCTAATTTCTTACATGAAAAGATTGAGGGTCAAACAAGTTTAAATATACATTAGGTGACACACTAAGCCACACAGCACAGAATAGAAATCCTCTTTTAGGATTATGTGTACTTCGAATAGCTTATAAAAATGGCTCTGAAATTTGTTGACTTACCTTCTCAGAACCAACTTCTGAAGCATATGGCTGTTATCATAAAAATGTGATTATACATCACCTATGTGTAAGAAGGGAACTTTATCATTTAATTTGAAAAATGTAGGTCCTAACAATTGTGCGTGTGTACTGTTTTAACAAACTGTGTAATACTGTTAACCCTTTAAACTTCCAAAGATATAGCATGAAAATTCATTTTTATCATAATAATCAGAAAGGAATAATTTATAGTTTGATGTCTGGACCCTGAATTTAATGTCAACATCTAGTTTATTACATTGTAAACAGACACCAGTGATTCTTTTTATTTCTTTGGATTTTTCTCCTACAATTGCTCCGTATTTGTTATGTGAAGCTCTGATCATCACTAACAATTATTTTTATTATTTTTTTCTCCCCCAACTCTACTTCAAAATTTCTGTAACTAATTTGCTTCGAAGTCTAGAATCTCCTTTGCAAGTCAGCTTACTGGGTGGGCTAAATTAAAGGAAAAGAAGGGTTGTTAGGAAGTCAGTGTGTGCTAAGAGGCCTTACTGATTTGCTGTATAAACTGGAGGGAGTATCGGAGAATTCTCTTTTCCCTTGATGAATTGAGGTGGTGTGTATTTTGACCTGTATCAGTAGTTCTGTTAGGATTAATTACTTCAAGCTTGCAATTTTTTAATTCATATGAATGTTGCACCTAATTATCCTGGTAAGTGGTTCAACAAATATCTGCTGTTTTTATTTCAACTCTTGGAGCCAATAACTTCTGGAAGCGATTGAATGCAGCTGGAGAATAACACTAATGATCATTATAGCCTGCAAAATGTGCAACAATCTCATTGTAATTTTGTCCAAAGACTGATAAATTTCATCAGATCAGAGTTGAAAAAAAGCCCATTTTATTATGATTAAAGAAATTTTGTAAAAGAAAGGTGAGTTTGGGGGGCAGCTCAGTGCTATTTATCTGGTGAGAGGTTGCTTTGAAAAGAATTCACTTTAAGGGTGGAAGGGCAATTCTTTCATCTGAAAGGGATTATGGGGCTTCATTTGGATATTTCCCCCCATGTGATAAAAACCCTAGCTGAGTGATAGCGCAGACATAGCTCATTTGGAGAAAACAAGGAAGAGAAGAAAAGCGCTGAGGTGGAGGGAGGAGTAGTCACCTATGCTTCCAAACTCCTGCAGCTTTTCCTGGTCTTTTCATACTCTGGAGCATCTCAGGTCTTCTCTAGGAGTGTGCGATGCCCTCCCCTCTAGTTCTTCGACGCTACCTCCCTGGTAAGCTGTCCCCTTCCTTGGAATCTCGACCCTGCAGCAGCCCTTCTAAGTTCCCAGGGAAAGGGGGAAAGCTCTTCCTGGGAGTCACTCCTCCTCGGGCCCCAAGGCTGCCTCCCCGACTGGCCTGGTGCTCCATTGACTGGGAACAGGTGTGCTTGCTACAAAGGCTGGGAGCTGGAGGGTTTGGCTCCGTGTACAAGGCGACTTACCATGGTGTTCCTGTGGCTGTAAAGCAAGTGAACAAGTGCACCAAGAACCGACGAGCCTCCCAGCGAAGCTTCTGGGCTGAGCTCAACATTGCAAGGCTGCACCATGACAACATAGTTCAGGTTGTGGCTGCAAGTACCCGGACGCCTGCAGACTCCAATAGTCTAGGTACTATAATCATGGAGTTTGGGGGCAACATCACTTTACACCAAGTCATCTATGGTGCCACCAGCTACTCTGAGGAAGAGGCTGGGGAGTCCCACTGCTTAGATGGAGAGCAACTGAGTTTGAGGAAGTGTCTAAAGTATTCCCTAGATGTTGTGAATGGCCTGTGTTTCCTTCACTCTCAGAGCATTGTGCACTTGGACCTGAAGCCGGCAAACATTTTGATCAGTGAGCAGGATGTCTGTAAAATTGGTGACTTTGGTTGCTCTGAGAAGCTGGAAGATCTGCGGGGCTTCCAGGTTCCCCCTTATCACCTAGGAGGCACGTACACCCACAGAGCCCCAGAGCTCCTGAAAGGAGAGATGGTAACACCCAAAGCTGACATCTATTCTTTTGCTATCACTCTCTGGCAAATGACTACCAGGGAGGTGCCTTATTCTGGGGAGCGGCAGTACGTGCTCTATGCTGTGGTGGCATATAATCTCCGCCCATCTCTTGAAGCAGCTGTCTTCATGGACTCTGTCCCTGGGCAGAGGCTTAAAAGCATCATCAAATGCTGCTGGAGGGCCAGTGCTTTGCAGAGGCCAAATGCAGAACTCCTCTCCGTGGACCTGAACTCTTTAAAAGCTGAAATGGGCTGACTCCAAACCTGTGTCAAGATAAGCTTTCCTCTTTGTTTCTATTTATTTTAAAAGTTGACATGTAGAAGAAAACATATAGGCAGGACAGATTTTTAGAAAATAAAGGTACTAGAAACTCTTTTAGTCTCTAGTGCTTTTTCTAAGACAAATAGAGCTACAAAGCTTGTCATTATTGTACTGTTATAACTAACCTTATTTCCTTTCTTTAGTTTATGCTTTGCTTTCCAGAGTCCAGGTGCTTACTTTGCCAGTTCCATAGCCTTGTACTTACTCAAATTTGTTCTTGACTAAAAAAACACCAAAACAAAAAACAAAACAAAACAAAAAACAATTCGTCTCAAACAGAATGCCATTGCAGAAATACCAAATTTTTTTTATGAATTTGGTATGTCCCTTCCTTATCACCTAAATTCATACTAGGAAGTTTACTTGTTCCCATACCAAATCAGTAAAAACTTTTTTTAAATGTTTTTTCTGTTCTCCCCTTAAAAAAAAAAAAAAAAAAGAAAAAAAAATTTTTAATGACCTTAACACAAAAATTAAAAAATTGAAATTTTTTTTTTTTTTTTTGGTACCAGGGATTGAACACAGAGTGCTTAACCACTGAATCCCATCCCCAGCCTTTTATATTTTGAGACAGGTTCTTGCTAAGTTGCTTAGGGCCTCAGTAAATTGCTGATGCTAGTCTTGAATTTGCAAATGTCCTGCCTCAGCCTTCCTGAGATTACAGGCATGTGCCACCATGCCCAGTGAGTAAATTTATTTTTAAAGGAATAATTTATAATATTTTAATTTGTACTTTGTCATGAACAGAAAAGTTTGGTAAAATATTGCTAACTTGTTTTTTTTTTTTTAACCTGGAATTTGGGCTCAGAAGTAGATGACAAGGATGATCTGAGGAAAAAAAAAATTGTGATATCCCTAAGAAATAGTGAAGTTCAACATTTGACAGAACAAATAGGTAGAATCAGATTTTCAATGTAGAAGTCAAGATAATGGATGCTATACGTAGGATTTGGAGAAGGTGATTGGATCTTGTCCTGGGACAGCTTTGACAAACTTTCTTTTAGTGACAGCAGTGTTGGGGTATGGTACCAGGCCGGGCTGGTACAATGACTGGGAGAATTCATGGCAGGGGGTGAAATGGAGGAGGTACACAGACTGTGAAGGAAGAAAGGACAACAGAACTCTTCAAAAGAGGCAAGAGACAGAAATGGGTTTGGATGTTTGGCTTAGTTTAGTTATAGGATGCAGGAAGTATGTTTGTGGAAGAAAGCAGAGGAGACAAAGATAATAATAATAGAGTTCAAAAATCCATAGACGGCAGTAGCTATGGAAAGACTATAGTCCTGGAAAGAGGGCATTTCTTCCCATAGATGGGAGTTGAGGCAAATGGCCCAACTGCCACTATAGACAAATTTACAAGTAGGAAACAGGGAAGCTGGGGAAACTCACCACCGTATAGATTTGTTAATGGTAGGGGCTCTACAGAGGAAAATTACAGTTTAAAACTGTTCTGGGGAAGCAAAAGTGAGCTTTCTATGGCCAGGTAGTATGGACAGAATGCTGCTCACTCTTGAGCTTGAGTGAGACCGACAAATGCTGTCACCAACGGATGATGGTTTATTTATCTTCTGATGTTTGACTTCATAATAGTGTGAAAGTGATAGGCACTTTGCAGTACTTTGAATTGAGATCTCCAGGGTGAGTGATATGCAGTCTGATCACCTTTCCCTGTGCTGGGCAGCAGAAGCAGCAAGCTGCAGCTCTCAATCAGCTTCACAATCGTGAGGCAAATAATCAACACTCTACAGTGTACTGTGTTGCCAGGTTCTCTGGATACAGGTATAGTTGTATTTGTGGGGTTTCACATCCATATACCTCATTAACAAACTGTCAGTGAGCTATATAAGGATAGCCTATTAAAGGTGGAAAAAAATGCAAAGTTATCTTTCAGAGAGAATATGCGCACAGCTTAGGTTCAACCACCAATCTAAAATATTCAGGAAAAAAATGGCATCTGTACTAAACTTGTACAGTTTCCCTTGCCATTATTCCCTAAATAATACAGTATAACCATTACTCACACAGCAATTACAATGCATTAGGAATCAAAGAAAAGTACTCTATAGATGATTTAAGGTACATACAAAGACATACACATGTTATATGAAAATACTCCATTGTTTTATATAAGAGACTTGAGCATCCTCAGATACAGATTTTGATATTTTCAGGGGGTCCTGGAATAGATCCTGTGAAGATATTGAGGGATAACTATATCGATAAATTCTGTGAACTATTCAACACTTTATTAAAAATAGACTTTACATTAATTTAGTTGATTTTTACCCAAATAAAAGGTAAAGAAAGTGTTCTGAGCATGTTTAAGGTAATCTAGGTTAAGCTATAATGTTTAATAGGATAAGTATAATAAAATGCATCTTCAAATGCAGTTGAACCCACAGTTTAGGTTTAAATAGCTTCCCTTTTCCTGGAAACCACACAATGTCAAGGTGAATAAGGGAGAGCAAAACTGTAACCCCCATAATCAAACTAGGAGACAAACTCCAGAACACATGCAGTGATGCAATCAGTGATGCCAAAGACGTGAGAGGGTCACCCTGGTGGGAGGGGGCAGGAATACAAGAGAGGCTCAGAAGGTTCCTGAGCCCGGTTTGCTCTGGGAGAGAAAAAGTTGTGGCTTCAAGGAGAAACCCACAGAAATGCCATGTTTGAAAGGAAGGAGCAGATGAAGGAAGTCTTTGAGTTATAAGAAGACCACCCTGACAGGGGTAGAGAAAGCACATGGACTGCCCCCTCTGCGATAGCTAAGAGTTGAGGGCCATTATTCAAGACTGACACATGAAATCAGAAGTTTAAAAAAAAAAAATTACCATATAAAGATAAATACTAAAAAATATAATTAAGACTGAGTTAAATTACAGTGGGGAAGAGACACAAGCTATCAATGATAGCATTTCTCCATTGCTCATAGCAAATAAATATTGTCTAGGATTAAGGAAATATATGGAAAATACAACAGATACCCAAAATTTAAAAAAAAAAAACCACAAATAAAATAGAAATTTTACACAAATTAGAAAAGAAAAGTTTATTTACCTCAAAATTTTAGAACTCTTAAAACAACTATGTGTTGAAATGGTAACCAAAAGTTAGGAATTTTTGAGAACAAAAATAATGAAACACATATTATTATACATAGGATAAAAATAAAGGAGATGAAAATTCATAGTCCTAAGTAGTATTATGAATAAAAAAAACAATAAATGAATAAGGCACATGCTTTGAAGTTAAGGAAAGGACCAAAAAATAAACTAAGGGAAATTTTAAAATCAGGAATTAAAGCAGACAATGATTTCAAATAATAAGTAAATGAATATTTTGTTGACTATCAACAAAACAGGGAAACTACTAGCTAACTTAAAATAACTAAATCACATATACATAAAATTAGACATAAAGTATGATGGAAACAGGGATTGTCTTTATATTTTAGAAGAAAATTTGCATAACTATAGAAATAAATTTGAATACCTTGAAGAATATATAACTTTCTAGGAAATTACAGTTCACCAAAAGTAGCCCCAATGAAGATAGAAAGTAGAAACAGACCAATTTTAAAGAAGAAAACAGAGAGTTGTCTAATCTGTACCCCATAAAACACTAGAACCCAAGTTCCACTAGCTTCTACCAATAAAGACCAGGTCATCTTGATGCTATTCAAATTATTCTAAAAACCTCTTTTAAGAACAAGATTTATATCAAAGCCTGATAAAAGACTGCTTTTAAAAAAGAAAGCAGATCAATCTTTTATTTAAAACTATCAGTTTAGAATTGCTAAGTAAATATTAGCAAGCAGAATCATAGTCAACTTTTAAAAGCATGCACACAATATATTTAATTAATGGGTTTCTTCCAAGATGCAAGAATGGTTCACTATTAGAAAATCCATTAATCCACCACATTAATAGGTCAAAAAAGAGAAAAATAAAAATGTGATAAGGGGATATTTGACAAAAGAAACTAAAAAAGAAGAATCAATGGATACTCTATTAACCTGATTTAAAATACACATACACTTCAATAGCCACTATCTTATCAATGGATGTGTAACTGATGTGATTCTGCAATCTGTATACGGAGTAAAAATGGGAGTTCATAACCCACTTGAATCAAAGTGTGAAATATGATATATCAAGAACTATGTAATGTTTTGAACAACCAACAATAAAAATTAAAAAAAAATCACTAGAGACATACCACTATAGTCATGAACAATATAAGAATGTCCATTACTACTGCTATTGTTTAACATTTTCTTGGTTAATGATATTTTAAAAGATAAACTTGACTAAAAAAAATTGTAAAGAGTGAAAAAAATCTGTTTGCAGATTCTATTTTTAGGATGTATATTTGAAAAAAAAGTCAGAATTAATAGAAAAACTAAAATTGTAAGAAATTGCATACAATAGCAGGATAAAAAATTAACCTGCAGAAACAAACAAACTTTAATATGTATACAGAAACCAGGTAGAATTTATAAAAGAAGAGAATTTTTTTTATAATAGCAATAAAAAAGAAAAATTCTCTCTGACACAGCCATAGCCTATGTGGTTGAAGACACCATGGTCAGAGAGATAAATTCATAAACTCATATTTTTTAATAAAAACAGATGGATAGAGGGATATAGGTAGAGATGGAAATAGACATGAATGTATGTTCATATAAATGTTTCCTAGCTCCATTCTTCAACAGGGCCTAAAGTAACCACATTCTGGGTAGACTTAGCACAGATTTTAGTTTCTGAATTCTGATATTTTTTTAGTTTATGAATTCTTAATTATCCACAACAGAAAAAAAAAAAAAAAAACAGGGCTTCTTTGGAGAAATGACTGATTCCAGACAGTACAAAATGAACCTATAACATTTTATGTCTCCAAATAAAGAAATGTCTAGGAATGATAGTAATATATCA